CGAGATTTTGAGTTATCATTAACCACTGCCTGTTAAATTAACTGGGAAATCAGCTCTGTCTGGCGTTAGGCGATGGCAGAACGGAGCGCTGGCGGCAGACGATTTAATTAAATGGTTAATCGAATCAAGCTAATTCCTCGATACAACATCCAGTTGCCTTTTGGCTTGCCGGTGACTAGGACGTGCAGGTTCTGCTCCCGCGACTCCCGGAGCTGTTGTTTGTCATTTCCCCTGGGCAGAGAGGGAGAATGACCGCGTGGGAGATGGGGACTGAGCTGTCCTGTCTCCCTCTTCCCAAACAACTCCCGTGCCCCGCTTGTCCCTTGGTATTAAGGAGGCAGCAGTGCCGAGGGGCGGCGGGAGGCAGGAAAGGCGCTGCTTGAGGAGCCGCTCACAAGGTGACATTCTCGTCCTCCCTGTAGAGAGGATTTGCTGAGCAGGTTGAACGAAGCCGCTGCCCGTGCCCGGGCCGAGCTTCGTCGCCGTCCTGCCCAGCACGGAAGGGGCGAGCCCCGGGGCGGAGGTGACCGGGGGTCCCGCACCCCGCGCCCTTTGTGGGGTCAGCATCCCCGCGGCGCCGGCGGGCGAGGGTTGAGCTGCTGCTCCTTTTTTAATAACCATACAGCGGCCCTTGAAAGGGCAAAGAAAACGCAGCGAAACCAAAGCGTGCGGAGACGTCCCCGGGCCACGGCCCCCGGGAGGAGGGGGAGAGACCCGGGAAAGCGGCGGCGGGGGCCGCTGCACAGAGAGGGAGTTTTGAGGAACTCCTGGAAGAGAAACCCGCGATGGCCCTGCTGGGACCCGACTTAGGGAAGACTCCCTGCGGCTGCCCCGTCGGGCAGGCTCCCAGCGCTGCCCCACAGCGGCGGGCTGCCCCCGGGAGAGCCCCCCAAGCCTCTCCCTCTGCCCATCCACAGCCGCAGGAAAGAACTCCCTGCCTCCGAGGCTTCGTCTCCAAGGCAGCTTCCCTGGGCCTCGCCCGGCCGTGCGGGGCGGTGCGCCAGACAGGGCAAAGCCCGGAGGGGTACCCAAGGGTTCCGAGGGAGCTGGCCTCAGGGCCTGGCCCCAGAGAAGCGGCTCTGGAGCTCAGGGTGGGCTCTCCACTAGGTGATTTTAAACGGGGGCGTCAAGTCGCCCGCTACAGTGAATCCGAATTGCGCTGAGGTTTCATGACTGCGAGCCCGCTGGGGAAATCGCCGTAACTGCTTTTAAAAGCCGACAAATCAGCGCAAAGTAGATAAGGGCTTGCATCTTCTGGCCACCCCACCCCCACCGCCACCCCCGCCCCCCTTTGCTATTGCCAGACAAAGGACGGGGTCGAGATGGGCTCTGCGCTGCAGATGCTCACAGAGGGACAAGTAACCCGGAGATCAACCGGGGCCAAGGAGCTGCCCTGGCTTCTCGGAGTCTCATTTCCCTGCGCCTGCCTTCCTCCGTCTTTGCCTAGATCAAATTAGAAACGATTCAGGAATTTCTTCCCCCTTCTGTGGGACAGGCGAGTTTCTTGAAACAGTATCGCCACTGGATAGGGACGGTGCCCACCCGGCCCCTGGTTTCATTGGCTGTCTACATCAAGGCTTGCATCAATCAAAAGATGAGGGGAAGGCAGGACAGGAGCGGGGCAGAGCAGCGCGGCAGGTCTGGCTGCGCGCCCGGCCTGGGGCACAGGCTGGCGGTGCGGAGCGGCTCGCTCAGGGCCGGCGGTGGGCGCGGCTGGGTGGGAGAAGGCATTTCACAGGGACCCGCCTTTGTAGGAGCCCATGAAACCGATGGACATGCTTTTTGATGTGGAAAGCACAGCGGCTTTCCACCGGAGAGCGCTGAGAGAAACGATGAATCAGCACGCTCGCTCCGCGCAGGTTCGGCGCAATATAGGTGAAGGCTGTTGGCTAACGATAAGTGATAGTCTGGATAAAATGCTTTTCTTTTCTCTTCTTTAAAAAAAAAAAAAATCTTTTTTTTCCATTTCCCTTACCCCCTCACAACAGCAGACAATATCTCGTGGCACAAATAGTTTCTCTTCTGAGGAAAAAAAGTTCATCGAGTGAAAGAGATTGTTAAATAGGAGGAAGAGTTTGCTAGGCAGGAGCATATAATCCATATTTTGGCAAGAGTATCAAATTCATTCTGAAATAAAAGCTTGATCCATTTTTTAAAAAATTATTTTTCTGCTTGAATAACACAGCTGGGTGATGCCTTGAGCTTATGTTAGACGGTTGCTCATCATTCATTCGCCAAGAACTGACCTAAACGGTGCCTGTGGGATTAGGTCAATTTTAGTGGATCTACTTCGCCTCATTTGGTTACTAATTGGTTTCTTGTTTTATAAATCGAAATCTCATTTTCAGGAAATTACAAAACCCATGCAGCCAGTCCATGGAGGTAATCCGTGGGTCGGGGGTATTTAAATGGAAATGGTTCTACAATGCATCAAGTATTAAGCAAGAGTAAAACTTCCCCTCCATTTCCAAATGAAATGTGATCTCGCTAGCTCCTTAGATCCATAATAGATACATCCCTTCTAAGGCTACTTATGTAAATATGATAAACCAGACCGCCGTGGGGGAGGGGCCGCAGGGAAGAAAGCAAATTTTATCTGCTAAGGTTAATGTGGCATAACTTGGAAATCTTCCAAAATAGATTATGTTTTGCTTTGTCTTCGGCCACTTTAGCTGGGAAAATCCGTTGCCTAAAAACGATTTAGTTATCCTTGTTCTCACAAAGCTGCTTGTTTCTATTCCAAAGCTATTATGCTGTTGGCTCTCCAAATTACAAGAGAATCTTTAGATCTTGTTTCCAAGCGTAATCCTGGAGCAAAAGGGATAGCTGATTTCCTTGTTTTGTTTTAAATAGACAATCAAAGGATTTGCAGAATTTTCTGCGGTAGGTCAAGTGCAAGAAATCACAGTTTGCCCCCTCGATAAAAGGAAATTGGATGTTAAAGGGAATAGACGGGGGGGGGAAAGGGAAAATTAGTGCAGGGAGCTTTCTCTTATAATCTTTGAAAACAGTATTTAAGGGGCATCAGGAGAGGCCGTCGATTTGGGAGAGGCTGGGATTGGCAACGTTTAGAAAGAGTCTCCGACTTGAAAGTACTGAAAACATCTGGGCAGCACAAAGGATCGTCTCATGTGACAGGATTTGAAAAAGCCGGTTCAGGTAGACAAGTGAAAACGTTTAATTATAAACCATGAGCCTACAGAGCCCAGCAGTGCGGGGTTTCCACCTGAAACATATAGAGGAGCTCAGAGCGCCGTGAAGAACCACCTTCCCGAGGGAGGTTAACCTGCAATGCCCGTGAGCTGTTCATTAACCCGCTGGGGTCGGGTTATTTTCCCTTTTAGGAGAAGAATAATTAGAATCGTAAACTTAGATTAATAAGCAACTTAAATCATAGGCGGGCAGTGCAGACTCAGTCTTGAATAAAGAAACCTGTCACTCAGATTTCCCTCCGGGTGGGGGACGTGGCAAGGAGCCAGCTCAGCGCTAACGGGCCATCCTGGCTCCCCAGCAGAGAAACCTTCAAGGAGCTCGGGAAAAACAAATAAATCGTGGGGTTTTCTCTCTTTTCCTGGAAGCTGTGTAAAATTCGCCAGCTCCTTCCTGAATACAGGGGGCGGAGGTGATCCTCCATCCTGGCGGCTGGCTTCCCCTTAGTTGGCGTGGAGGAATCAATGGGAAGGAGCCTGTTTCTGACTGGCGACCTGCTACATGCTGAGGCTGCAGGATGAGGGACGGGCCAGAGAGAACCTCCTGCCTCTGCAGGGCTGTGAAGTTAAGGAAGAAGGAGAAAAGTGTAGGGGCTGTGAAGGGACAAGTTGTTGTGAAGAGGCAGAGGAAGGGGAGAGAAGGAAGCGAAAGGC